GGCCCGCGGGGCGGTGCGCCTGCAGCGGGCCTTCCTGCGCGGCCCGCTGGGCGTGCTGCGGCTGCTGCAGCTGCTGGCCGGCGCCGCCTTCTGGATCACCATCGCCACGAGCAGGTACCAGGGCCCCGTGCACTTCGCGCTCTTCGTGTCCGTGCTCTTCTGGCTGCTGACCCTGGGCCTCTACTTCCTCACGCTACTGGGCAAGCACGAGCTGGTGCCCGTGCTGGGCTCGCGCTGGCTCCTGGTCAACGTGGCGCACGACCTGCTGGCGGCCGCGCTCTACGGCGCCGCGACGGGCATCATGATCGACCAGACGCAGAGCCACAGCTACTGCAACCTCAAGAATTACCAGATGTCCTGCGCCTACCACGCCTTCCTGGCGGCCGCCGTCTGCGGCGGCCTCTGCCTCGGCCTCTACCTGCTCTCGGCGCTCTACGGCTGCTGCCGCCGCTGCCAGGGCGAGCAGGAGGTGGCGTGAGGCCGCCGCGCCGCGGGGCGGGGGACCCCCTGGAGATCAGCGCCCCAGTCCTTCCTGCCGCCGCCGCCCCGCGCCCGTGCGCCCTGGCACCCGCCCCTTGCCCTGCCTTCCCGCCGCCGCCCGCGCCCAGGCGCCCTGACACGCAGCTCCCTCCCGACGGCAGCGCCACCGCCCGGGGTCTGGACCGCTGCACCGGACGCGCCGTCTCCAGGGACCAGGGCAGGGCTCCATTCGAGGGGCGGACGCGCACTCTCGGACCGGCCGCCCGGAGGCGAAACCTTGCGGTCCCTCTTCCCCTTCGCTGTTGAGAGCGAGACGTGGACAGGCGCCGCGTAGATCCGGGGGAGGCTCCCAAATTGCAACCAGTCTTCTGGCTGCGCCACTTTCCCCTCCCTCACGCTCCGCAGTCGGAAGAGCACCCCTTTCCCTGGCCCCTCTTCCAGCCTCGAGTGCTGTAAAAGGCAGGCACGCCGCCGCGGGCGGAGCTGGGGACAGGCCTCCACTGGTCCCGAAATGAGCGACGAGTTTGGTTTCAGCTTGGCATTGTGCGGGCATCCTGCGCAGTCCTTCCTGGCCCATCCCTCGGTGCTTTGATGTCGTGGGGTGGGGCCCATTTGGAGAGGTGAGGATGGATAGGAAGGGCCCGCAGGCTGCCCCCTTACACCTAGGAGTCTCACTCTCTCCTCTGCCTGCTCAGCCTTTGTCCTCGCGGTTCCTGGAGGCCAGCCCAACGCACACTAGCTTCCCCGGCCTGGCTTTCCCAGGCTTCCTCTCACAGGCTTCTACTCCGTCCCCACCTACCAACATCACTTTGCGTTAGGGATCCCACAACACCGTCAAGGAATGTTAGGGTGAGCCCCACTCCATCTTTTTACAGATGGAGACGGAGCTTGCTCCTGGGTACAGCCAGAATAAGATTAGAACCCCGTCTCGGGGCTCCCAGTCCAGCACTGTTTACATGAAAGCAGTGGGTGTTCCGAGGAATTCTGGCTCAGGAACTACCCTCCAAAAGAGGGTTGCAAGGCCAAATGGGTTTGTTAAAGGTGCTGTCTCCCCTTCTTGGAGATTCACGATGCTCATTAGCATATTATAGGCTCTGAGAAGTCCTGCTGTAAAAGAAGCCCAGGAAATTTAGTTTACAGTGTTAACTGCCTCTGGACCTGGGCCAGTTGTTCCCACCTTAAGGTTCCCAGCAGCCCTGTGCTGTCTGGGTTCTCATTCATTCCTAAGGGGCCCAACTCATTGGCTATGGTCTGTGAAGATTTGGGAGCTCCCTCCCTTTCCCAAGGAATTTCTCTAGCAAAGGGAGAAGATAGCTGCCCCACCAGGCCAGCCAGAGGCCTGGGAACTGGTGGATTTGAACATTCCTTTACATTCTTTGGGAAATGAAACCAAGGTTATCCAGATGGTTTCCCAGTCAAAAGGAACATCACCTGTAAGAGATCCTGGCCTTGACCGTGAGCAGTGGTCACACTCACCAAAGAGAAATAAACTTTCTGGAGCTGAGGTGAGCAGCTGGCCCCGCCTCTGTAAGGTAAAACAATTCTTGGTTTTCGAGGGTGGGGGTGGGTGGGTCATAGGCCTTTGAATAGAAATACAGAGCCCCTTCCTTTTCTATAAGTTATAGGATTTTTATTCGGAGAACAAGTTGGAGGGGTGACAATAATAACCACAATGTCCAAAGAGTTGTGACTATTCAACCTTTTTGCTAAATCCTTCAAAGTCTGCTCTTTGAAAAATTCAATCCTCTCTGGATTAGAAACTAGAATAGGGGAGCCTGAGTGTGTTTTTGTGAGCATGTTTTTATGGCTTAAGTGGAGAGGTGTTAGGTTTCTCTGTTGTAGTTGTGCAGATCTGGGTGGGGGTGGGGAGCACTTATGTAAGTTTTACAGTCACTATCGGAGCATTTGTCTAGTCTTGCTAGACATTTCATTTCATTCTCTCAACAACCCTATTGAGGAGGGTTTTATTATTAGTCCCAAATATTAGTCCCATTCTGTATGAGGAAAGTGAGTCACAGAGAGGTTAAGTAACTTATCCAGAGTCTCCCAGCTAGCGGATGGTGGAGCTAGGATTTGAACCCTGGCAGCCTGGACCAGGCTGTACTGTATACAGTAGGGGATCAGTACATGTTAGATATTGTTAGCATGGTTATCTTCAGTGTCTCGGTTAAGCTGGCGTCCTGCTCCCATACTCCAGACAGGGTAACTGTTCCCTCAGCCCCAGCCACAGGTGCCAGCCAGAGCCTGGGGGTGGGCTTTGCTGAGATCCTTGGGGTGCCTCAGAAACCCAGTGACTTTGGTTCTTCTGTTGCAGGTTTCCATGTTGCTGAGGCCAGGCAGATTCCTGGAGCCGCTCATGCCGACCTCTCCCAGGGCCTGTTTCCCTGGGTCGGCAACACCATTCTGGCCTGGGCCAGCAGAGGGTTTCAGAGTGGGGAGAGGGAACGACCTCTGCCCGGCAGCTTCCGTTGAACACCATCCAGTAGAAGAGCCAAGATGGGTGAAGATTCATTTTGCCTTAACATGAGAGAAATCCTGATTCTCCTTATGCTATGACTTGGGCAGAAGATTCCAGACTCCTGAAACTGAGCTGTGTGCCTCTCTGCCCTGAACAATGGGTTTTAGCTCCAGCTTTTGTTCCTTTCCTCTTTTTTTAGATCACTGTCTAAGCTGTATTCTCAGCTCAGATCCAGCCCCCCGAAGACTTCTTCTTAGCCCCCCAGCCCATGGTGCTCTGTCTGTGGGCAGGTGACCTTACTCAGGAGCAGACAGCTCCTTGGCCTTCATGGTACCTTATCCATCCAGATGTGCCTGAAACATTCCAGGACTCACTGGCTCTTCTAGATGTGCCTTTCCACTTGGCCTCCAGCTGTTTCTCCAGATATGAGAAGGATATGTAAGACGGCCCCCACTCCCATCCTCTCCTCGCCCTCGAGGCCTTGTGCCATAGAAATGGCCACCTGACCTGGCCTGGAACTTTTGGGTACTGGAGGCAGTCTCATTGGCTGCCCTCTTTGGACTCCAGGACTCAGTCCAGCCCGAGACCACCGTGGGCTGCTCTCAGCCCAAAAGTCTGGGACCACTTGTGGACACACGAGATGATGTCTCCAGTATTCTACAAAGGCCAGAAGGAAGGGTGGGAGTGGGAGGGGTGAGCGTGGGTAGGGAGAGGGGACACATGTGCCTCATTCAGTAGTTTAGTGGTGATTACTAATATGCTTTTCTAAATAAAGTTTGGTCTGTCTGGTCTTGGGGCATGTGTCTTCTCTCCTGGACCCCTGCAGTGACCCTCTGTGCTAGGTCCCCCTGCCTCCCTCCATCTTCTCGTTATGCCACACTGCCCTGTTTTCTGATTCCTCTCTGCCTCCCCCGCTTTCCCAGATTTCCAGTACAGTTAGGGCAGGACACGGGAACCAGAGGGAAGAGAACTGCCCGTGTCTGTTTCTGGCCGAGGCTGGAGGGGATTCCAGAGGCTGCTGTCCTGGCTCTCAATGGGCCCTCTGTTTGGGAAGCTCCAGTGCCTGATGGGCAGCCTCAGAATGACTGTGGTCATGGAACCAGAAGGGTCCTGTTCTAGTGCAACCCCATCACTTACAGAAGGGGAAATGAGCCCCAGGGTGGAGTGGCAACGTCTAATGTCACCTAGCTGACTAGGGGCAGAGTGGGGTCTCCTAGAGCCCAGGCTCTGGTTCTTTCCTGCAAACCCCTGCCTGCTCTGGTGTTTTCTCCTGCACACACCCCACTTGGTTTTCCTCCTATTCCAGCCACAGCCTGCTGACTGACAGTGCTCTGGAAAGGGCCTGAGGGTAGAGTTAACAGGCTTCCTTGGCCGCTCCTCCCTCCTGCGCCCTGGGCCTGAAGTATGCGGCCAGGAAATAGGATTCTGCTGGCAGATCTCAAAACCCAGCTAGAACAAGGATCTGGTGCTCCGTGTGCTCCACACTCACTCTCTTCCAAAGCACCCTGCCCAACACGCAACGCACACCCTCCTCTTCCTGGTTTGGTTTGGGATTTCCAGAGTGGAAGAAATGTCACCACTGCCAAGGCCCCTCTCTTACTCCCCTCTTCCCTCTGGGGCTATTCATGAATTTCACTCAAAAAGTCCCTCCTCTCCCCCTTTATGCAAAGGCTGGTTAAGCCCTCTGCTCTACCTCAGTTTGGTGGAGCATTTTGCAATTGAAAATGTGCTTCTACCTGCATTTCCTTATTTGATCTCAACAGTCTTAGAGGCTGGCATTGTCACCCCCATTCTGTAGAGGATATGGAGCCCCTTAGAGGAGAAGGGCTTTATCCACAGTCACACAGGCAGTGGCAGGATGGGGCTGGAAGGTAGATGTTCTCTCATTACCCTCGCAGCCAGTTGCTAAACCCCTGTGATCCCCTGCAGGCTCTGAAGTTTAGGTAGAGTTTGGGTTTCCCTCCTGGAGACCAGGTGTTCAGGAACAGTCTAATCTGACATTTCCTGTTTAATGCTGAGGGCACTTTGAAATAAGACACTGCTCCTCAGGGATGTAATGAGCCCATCTGAGTCTGGGGAATCCCAGGGATTTGTAAATGAGTAATAGCTCATTTATGTCTATTACTTTTCCTGCTTTTCTAGGGATAAGGGTGGGGTGGTTCGTGGTGAGAAAGGGAGCTAATAAGCCAACATTTTCAGGGATAAAAGGAAAAAGCAGGGATATGAGAGAGAAAGATCTGGTTAGCACTATTTATTTATGTATTTATTGTTTTGTTTGTTACAGTAGTTATTTGCAAAACAAAATAGCACTATATACCCATTAAAAAAATCTAAACTATACAAAAGTGTACAAAGTAAAAAGAGAAGTCATTTGATCATCCTAATCTCACTCCCTAGATGTAAACCATTCTTAACTATTAACTCTCCTTCCTTAATTTTTATAACGAATGAAATACACATGGAAACACACGAACACACACGTATATAATACATTCAGACTCTTCTACAACTTGCTTTTCAAATTTGACGATAATATAGTTCTAACCCTCTCTAAATGTCCGTATGAACAGCCAGAGACTGCAAGAATTTTGTGAGCTTTCTGGAACATTTATAATTACCTCACGTCGGTTAACTTTGTTACTTCCTTAGCTGCTTCCTATGGAGATCTTAGCAAAACCCTTAAAACAGGGCCTTTTTTTACTGGTGAGGAAACTGAGGCTTAGGAGATGAAGTGGCTTGCCCAGGTCTGTACTCTTTCTGGCGCCACACCGCCCAGTAACAAAGAGGGAGGGAGCACTGGGGCAGCTGTATCTCACTTCATAGCCAGTCTGGGGAGAGGAACATTAAGGACTAGGGTTAGTGGGGGCAGCTGGAAAGAGGTGAGGAGGGCCTGACACTCTCTGGGCCCCGTGGGACAAAGGAGAGGTATGCTGGGGAGGTGGCCAGAATCCAAGGAGAGCACTGGGCATAGCCAGTAGGAGGGTGTGGAGCACCCACACCAACGTCATCAGCCTGCGGAAAATTCCAGTCTGGCTCCTGGTCTGAAAGCCCTTTTGCCCTCCCTCTTCCATGACCCCATTCCTTTTGAACTGGGTGGCTATCTGGGATTTTGTAGGCATCAAGGCTGTGATGTTCCTTTGCTAGCAGAGGTGAGGACAAGCTCCCAGAGGCAGTTCCTCTGAGGCTTCATACCTGCATCTTCCTGGGGTAGGGTGCAGGTTCTCCTTGCTGCATCTCCAGGAGGCCTGAAGGGGGCGCTCTGACGCCCCGGTTGTGAAGCACTTCTGGGTCAAGGTTGGGAGAGGCGAGAAAGGGAACTAACTTTATGAAGTGTCTGCAATGAGCCAAGAACATGATGGATACCTTATATAACATCTCTTATCTTCACAAGCCCATAAAGTATTATATACCTCCACTTAACAGATGTGGAGACAGGCTCAGAAGGGTAAACTGATTTTCCCAGGGCTCTTGCCTAAGTGACAGAAACAAGATTCAAACTCAGGTCTATGCTACTATGCCATGCTGTATCAGAGGATTTCCCAGCAGACAGATTGGTTCTCCCAACCGTCCAAAGACTTCACCCAGAGCTACGCTGGATTTTGTGATAGTTATATCTTGAGCTAAGGCGGGAAGGAAATACTGTAAAGAAAGTTTGTTATATTATTACAAATCTGAATTACGTCAGCTTCTCTCTTCCCAGTTACAATGAAACTGGATAGTTAGCCTTCAGGTTTAATCAGCTCGTTGTGCTGAGGTCACTCTCCCGGTCCTTGGAGACAGTCCTGTCTGCCAGATGTAAGAAGGATATGTTAAGACTACCCCGCCACCCAGCCCTCCTCCCTCTCAAGGCCCCGTGCCATAGGTGTGGCCACCTGACCTGACCCTGAACTTTTGGATACTGAACCCTCCACCTTTCGCAATCTTGTCCTGTACTTGGTGCTGTCTCCTTCTGTGTCCCCTAGGCAGTTGGCATGACTGACTCTAATTTTTAAGTGAGCTCAGCCTGTGATGTCTGAGGTGAGCCGAATTTCTTATCGGTTGTCTGATCTTAGGTAATTTACTAAAGCTCTTTGGTCTCAGCTTTATCACTTAGTAAGTGGGGGTAATACTAGTACCTACCTCACTGTGCTGTTGAAAGGGCTTGAGGAGATGACGCACATGGAGCAGAGTAGAGTGCCTGGCCATTGTCCATGCAGCTCAGCTCTCAGCAGGGCAACGCTGTTGGGAGGACTTTATAAGATAATGTTTGTAAAATGATGAGCCTGAGCCACAGTAAGTGCTCAGAAGTGTTAATTCCCTTCTCCTCCACTCCAAGCTGGCTCTCTCCCTCCTGTCTCTCGAGGAATGACAATCTCATCAGCCATGGATTGATCCCTCTACTGTTCTTTCCCTGTCCAGATTTGAGCTTTCTTGAAAAGATGGCACAGAAGTGTTAAAAATTATTGTTACCTACCTGAAGGTCGGGACCTTCTTCTTCTATACAGAATCCGAGTTCCCTCTTTGCCCTCCTTTTGATTCCCTTTTGCAATCCCCAGACTGAGCCTCTGTGCTCCAAGCCCTTCTGCCTCCTTTTGGCCTGGAGGGAGGACTCACTGATCTCATCTTGTTTCCTGGGGTTCCAGTCCAATTGGAGAGATGAACTGACCACGAGTTCTCAGGTGTCAGTAGTGGGACGTTCAGAGACTCCCCTCATTATGTGTTTGGAGGATCTTCCATGATTGCATTCAAATCAAAATTTGTGCAGGCACGGGGGCATTTCCAGGAACGGTTACGTCCTTGGCTTCTCTAGCTGTTGCATATCTGAGCATTTCACAACATGTCTTTCTTCACTTCCTTGGTAAACTCTGTTGTATTTATCAGCTTGTTGCCTTCTTCTCCCAGCCATCCCTAGGAACTTGTGAACTTACTGGGTTTGTTTTTTCTTTTAAGTTAATTTGATGAACTACATCAGTGATCTTAATGTAGGGTGCCAGAAGTCCAAGGTGATGGGGTCTTTTTGTAGTGACTGTGATAATGATATCACATATCATTAATGGTATTAATAGTAATGGTATTAATAGTAATAAAGATTACACAATGTCCATATCGTATTCACAGTTTGCAAAATATTTTTACATTAATTATTTCATCTCTTCCTCATATCAACAGATAAATAGTGTAGATAAAAACTGCATTTTGTCGATAAGGCTCAGAGAGGTGAAGTGGTCGCCTAGCTACTTCTTTTTTTAAAAAACAGATTTATTAGGGTACACTTGATGTACATTAAACTGTGCATAGTTTAAATGTACCCTTTGAAGGGTTTTGACACATGTACACCCTTGTGAAACCATCACCACAGTTAAGACTTTGAATATATCCATAAAGCCCAAAAGCCTCCCCGTGCCCCTTTGTAATCTCTTTTTCTCCTTCCCATCTCCCCACCCCAGACAAACACTGCTCTGCTTCCTGTGACTATACATTAGTTTATATAAGTGGAATGTACAGTATGTGCTTTTTTTTTCTGGGGGAGGGGCAGTATCTGGCTTCTTTTACTCAATTATTTTGAGATTCATTCATGATATTGTGGTAACAATAGTTCATTCATTTTTATTGCTGAGTATTATTCCATTGTAGGGATATACTATGATTTGTTTATCCATTCACCTGTTGGTGGACATTTGTGTTGTTTCAAGTTTTTGGTTATTGCAAATAAAGCTGTTATGAACATTCTGTACAAGTCTTTGTGTGGACATATGCTGTCATTTCTCTTGGGTAAATACCTAGCAGTGGAGTGGCTCAGTTGCATGG